AATGTGTTCCTGTGGTATGACAATTGGCATCCGCTTGGTTCGTTGTGGCATAGGTTTGGTCCTAGAATTCTTTATGACACTAATCTTCCTGACAGCACCAAGGTTAGCTCTATAGTCTCTAATAGTTCTTGGAAGTGGCCTGTTTCTAATTCTTGGGAGATAAAGGAGTGGATCTCTTCTACCCCTTTATCCTTTCTACCTTCCTTTGGCTCTTCTGATACTCCGGTTTGGAATTTGGCTGCTGATGGTAACTTTTCTATCCAGTCAGCTTGGGATTGTTGGAGGGATAAGGGCCCTAAAGTCACTTGGTCCAAACTTATCTGGGGTCCCCCTTCAATCCCTAGGGTTAGTTTTATTGCTTGGTTAGCCGTCAATGAGAGACTTAATACTGGTGATAGACTTAAAACTTGTGGTCTTGTTACTACCCCTTACTGCCCTTTCTGTCAAGATCCTGAGGAGAATCATTCCCATCTTTTTTTTAGGTGCATATTTTCTTCTAGGATTTGGGGTGGTATCCTTGCCAAGTGTAAGTCTAACTGGCCTTCTTTGCCTTGGTTGGAAACTGTTGATTTTGCTGTTAGATCCACCAGTGGTACCTCCTTGAAAATGGTGATTCTAAAGCTATCATTCCTGTCTACCACATTTGGATGGAGAGGAATAGTAGGATCTTCAATAAGGTCCAAAAGCCTGAAGAGGTTGTTACTAACTCTATTATCCAAATGGTTAGGGGTAGGCTTCTTTCTATGGAAAATGTTAAAATTTCTGCAGGTGATAATTGGCTTTTGGAGGAATGGAGTCTTCCTCCCAAAATCTTGCAGCAGCACCATACTATTGCAGCTGGCTGGAGAATGAGTGTTGTGAGGTTACCTACATTGAGGGTTGAGTGATGGTGAGCAACTATTGTGGGGTTTACTAACTGGGTGCTCTTTTGCAGGTTATCATGAATCCTAAATCATCTCCCAGATTGATGTGCCCGAATGGAGGGTTGAGTGTTGTGAGCAACCAAAATATTTCTAGACATTGTGGGTTGAGTGATGAGAGACAGCACACATGTTTTGCGCTAATTTTTATTATATCTTATATATGGTTTGTGCAGGTTCTTGGAGCTTTCAAGTATAATGTCTTTCTGATTCTTTCGAGGTATCATGTGAGTTGTGGGCCTAGTGATGTGAGATCATATATGGAGTGGAGAGACATGCTGTGTTGTGGGTCGAGTGAGGAGAACTCCTATACTGTGTGTTTGTTATTTCTTCTCCTTTATGATTTTCGACAGGCTCACTTGTTGGTGAGGAGGTGTGGCGCTGCTTACAGTGCAGTTACAGGAGGTTGCTGCTGGTATCTTTGCTTTTTGGCGTGGAGGGGTGATGAATACATTCTGCACAGATTCGGGTGGCAGTTTGTAGGGTGTGTTTGTACCATGGTGATGGCTTGCTGCTAGCGCCTTGCTGTGCTACATGAGGGAGAAAATCAGTTGTTTTTCTTTGTATTATTTACATAATTTTATAGCGTATTTAGCTTATACCTACGGGCTGTGTAGGATTACCTTTGTGCTTCTTTGTGTTCTTAATAGTTTTCCTAGCAACCATGTTTCGGGTTGCACATATCTTAACAGGTTAGTTTTTGTTTTGGATTCTAATTCCTATCCCTACGGGCTGTGTAGGGAATTTTGTTTTGTTTTGGCTCGTGCCCCTGCGGATACAGTGTCCAGGGTCATCCATCTTGCTTGGTGCTACAGTTGCTGGAGGTTCTTTGTCAAGGCCGTAGCCTCCTGGATCAATGCTTCATTTTGTTTTCTCTTTTCGTCTAGGCTGCTATAATTGTTTATATTTCTTGTTCACTCTTCCTATTGCTAGATTATAGGGATGGTGAGCAGGTTGTTGGGCTTTTGGTTTGTTTTCCTGTATAGCTGTGTTAGGTCCTGGGGTATGCTCCTTGTAGTTGTGTAAATTTTCTTGTTTTATTTTATCTCTTATTCACCCAAAAAAAACTTGTAAATTTCATTGTCTTTATTTTATGACTTACTTACCCAAAAAAAAAAAGAAACAACAAGCACTCAGTGTAGGACCTCCCCTCACTCGACCCACAAGAAAGGAGAACTCTCCACTCAATGTAAGATCTCCCGTCACTCGGCCCACATATCTCGTGCTCTCTCATTCTAGCCAGCTGAACAATGTACTTGAGAATTCCATTAACCTACACAAAATATATATAATAAATAGTAAATGTTAGGCTAAAATATATGTACTTCCTTCCCCCCACTCAACCCACAGTTACAGTAACAGATATACTGGCTCACATCATTCAACCCTCCCTTCATTTTCTCCAGATTTTGTAAAAATTTGGGATCCAAAATAAGCTAATAGAATCTGAGAACATACCATCTGCAAAACAACACCCTCGTTAGAAAACCCTCAATGTAGGTAAACTCACACCACTCAAACTCCTCTCAACTGTAGCAGCTTGGGATTGCAACAAGATTTTAGGAGGCAAGTTCCATTGCACCAAATACCAATTGTCACCTGCAGAAGCTTTCACATTTTCCATAGAAAGGAGTCTACCCCTAACCATTTGGATGATAGAGTTAGTAACAACCTCTTCAAGTTTGAAAACCTTACTAAAGATTCTACTGTTTCTCTCCATCCAAATGTGGTAGATAGTGCAGAGAAAAGATAGTTTCAAAATCACAGTTTTCAAAGAATTGTCATTGATGGATTTAGTAGCAAACTCAACAATTTCCAACCAGGGCAAAGAAGGCCAATTGAAATTACACTTAGCTTGGATAGTAGCCCAAATCCTAGAGGAGTATATACACCCAAAAAACAGATGGGAGTGGTGCTCCTCAGGAGCAAGACACAAAGGGCAGCCAGGGCTAGTTAAAAGACCAAAGATTTGGAGCCTATCCCCAGTGTTTAACCTCTCATGGATAGCCAGACACACAATGAAACTAACCCTAGGGATAACAGGAGGACCCCAAATGAGTTTAGACCAAGTAACCTTTGGACCCTTGTCCCTCCAACATTCCCAAGCAGAGTGAATAGAAAAAGAACCATCAGCAGTCAAACTCCACACATGTATATCAGGGGAATCAAGGAAAGGTTTAAGAGAAGGAGGAGTGGCAAGAATCATTCGAAACAATGGAACTAACCTTAGTACTGTCAGGAAGGTTGGTATCATACAAAATCCTAGGACCATACCGAAGCCAAACCGAACCAAAGGGGTGCCAGTTATTATGCCAAAGGAACACATTTTCACCATTACCAATTTTGAATTTGATAATAGGGAAAAATTAAGTCCCTAAGCGACAAAAGTTTCCTCCATACCCAGGAAGGATCGCTGGGCAACTTAACACCCCAAAAACTCTTACCCTTAAGTAAGTAGGACTTGACCCATTGACACCACATAGAACACTCCCCACCAGAAAACAAATACCAAACATGTTTGGCTATAGCTGCTTTATTCCAAACCTCCATATCCTTAAAACCAAGCCCACCCTCATTTTTTTTTTTTGCAAATATTCTTCTAGGAAATTTTAGCACTATGTTTTTTCAGCTCCGTCCCAGACCAAAGGAAAGATCTGAGAAGGTTTTCAATGTCGCGGATAACTCTCTTAGGGAGAATAAAGGTTCCTAAATTTCTCCAAACCTTGCATGATGAGATTAACAGTCCCCGGATCCCCTCTGCAGAAGATCATAAGGTCATCAGCAAAACACAAATTAACAATTTTAGTCTTCTCACATCTCCAATGGAACTTAAAAAGAGGGTTCCTAGATTTTTCAGCAAGAATTCTAGCCAAAATCTCCATAGCCAACACAAAAAGATAAGGGGACATAGGGTCTCCTTGCCTAAGCCCCCTAGCCCCTTTAAAGTACCTATGAAGACTCCCATTAATGCAAATGAAGAAAGGACTAGTCATACAAGCTTTTATCCATTTTATCATGCAAGGAGGAAAGCCCATAGCAGTGAGGATATCAATAATAAAATCCCATCTCATAGTATCGTAGGCTTTCATAATGTCCACTTTCATAGCACACTTCGGAGTTTTGGAACTCCGGTGGTAACCTCTCATAATCTCCTAGGACAAAAAGATGTCGTCCGAGATTCTTCTACCCTGGACAAAAGCAGACTGCACAGGGTCAATCAGATCAGGAAGCACCAATTTGACTCTGTTAGCTATAATCTTGGCAATGCATTTGTAGATGGTGTTGCAGCAAGAAATAGGTCTATAGTCACCAACATTCATAGGATTAGGAATTTTAGGAATAAGAGCAATGATGGTGCTATTTATCTCCGAGAGGAGTTTACCAGAGTCAAAAAATGACTTAATGGCAAGAGTAACCTCCTTTCCAACAATATCCCAAGAGCTTTTGAAGAAACCAGCTGAATACCCATCAGGGCCAGGAGCTTTATTGGCCTTGAGAGACCAAAAAACCTCCTTGATTTCAACATCCGAAATAGGTTTAGCCAAAAGAATCGACTGAGAATTGGAAACTTTTTTATTCACCAGCGATTGGATGCGCTCAAGACTGTTATACTGTCCCAAGATAGGGGTGCCAAACAACTTGGTATAAAACTGGACAAAGGTATCATGAATATCAGTACTCTTGGTGGATCTAGTACCATCCTCCATAACCACACTCCTGATTTTACCTTTATTGATATTGCTCTTTTTTTTTTTTGGGTGAGTAAGTCATAAATTAAAGACAAAAGTTTACACATTTACAAGGGGCATACCCTAGGTAATACAAAGAATCTCACGCTGCCCCCCCAAAGGAGGGGGGAAACTATTACAGATAAAATAAATACCAAAACAAAACTACTTAACACAACCCAAAACAACAGGTTACTCAACAAATAAAGCAAATTGCCCATATATTTTCCAAATAACCCCTACCATCCAGAATAATAGATGGAAATTTGAAAAAATATATGGGCAAATACAAAGAAACCCAATCCACGTGCAAAACCACGTTACAAACCTGTGACCCAAAACCCGTATAGATGGGCTTTAAGAATTTCAAACCAAGTGTATTGGCGGGCCCCAAAAATAAGCCACGGCCAAAAACACATAAACCAGCCCAAAGACAAAACAAAACGTGGGCCCCAGTCATCACCAAAAGATGTTGAAATAATAAAATGGCTGGCCCCACGTGGAACTCCACTAATACAAAAAGTATATATAAAATATTTATATATACGACTTACATTCATGCCCACCTATTGAAACAGCAGGCCTACCATGATACACATTCCAATGTACCCAAACATTGTACTCCTGGCAAACCTCTGCCCTATACACGCCCCACTTGCAGAAAAAACATGTTCACCAAGATCAATATTTACAGTTGCCAAGCAATAACCCACACAAAAGGCAGGAAATCGAGGCTAAAAATATCAAACCAATGACGCGCCTCACTAAAACGCCTCGCGTGGGCTACACATCCTCTTAAAATCCATGCATGTGGTCCATGCTCCCGATACAACCAAACAATAGCCATGACGACGAACGGCTATGAACGGTGAAAGCTAACACAAACTGCCATGAACGGCAAACTAGAAGACCATCACCCTAACAAAGTACCTTGTCACCCATCCGGAGCCCCTTGACCATAGCAGAGACACACCACAATTGGATAAGTTCACGAACACAGTTGGCCACCCAGCCTAAGCACACCCCAAGACCAGCCAAGAAGGAGCCAGACTGGACAACACAGAAACTGAAATGGAGCACCAGAAAACAACCATCTCACAGCCGGAACCACCAAAAAATGAATTGACAGCTCCAGGACATGGCAAAACCAGACTACGTTGGAGAAGACCGACCATACAAACTCTGAAACAACGCTAGAACGCCGGTGTAGAAACCAAGCACACCAACCCACGAAGAAACGTCCAGCAATAATCGAAGGCATCTTCAGACCTCTCCTTTCAGCAACCAGGTTACTCAAGCACAGAAACCACCGACAGTCAAAGAACCCACCAAACAGTGACCAAACTCCAAATTAGGCTCAACCCATGGACGATTTGACCAACGGGGGTGACAAATGATAGCCATGGCTAACCGCAACTCAAGAGACCATGAATACCGAAGAAAGATTGGACAAGAAAACCTCTCAAACTACCAGAGAACTCCAAACACAATTAAAATTACAAAACAAAAGTCAGTAACACCCCAAACCGGGGCTTACAAGACCTAAACCATACTCACTCGCCCTCATAAAGCGGGTAGAGGAGCTAAACAATCTGGTCGGAACAGCACCAGTCCTTCACCACCAAGATACACCTCCGGGGGGAGCTTTCTCTCTCTAGAATCTAGAGAGTAGAGAGAGAGGCTCTGCTTTCTTCCCCTCTAATTGAAAACCCAACTTTCTCTTTTGATATTGCTCTTCACAGACCTAAAAAAGAAACTGCCATTCCTATCCCCTAGACCAAGCCATTGGACTCTAGATTTTTGAAGAGCAAGGCACTCTTCCAACTTACTAAGCTCAATGTATGTTTTTAACTCCTCTCTCTCCTCAACTTGTAGCCCATAGTTCAAAGGATCCTTATCAAGCTTAATTTGAGCAAGATCCAAACTAGCCTTAGAGATAAGGACACAAGTGGAAATATCACTAAAATCTTTTTTATTTAAAAGCTTAAGACTGACTTTAAGTTGTCTCAGCTTCTGGAAAATCCTAAACATAGGGACACCACGAATATACTGAACCCAAGTACTAGAAATAGTGCTAAGAAAATCTGGGTGTCGAGACCAGAAATCAAAGTATTTGAAAGGTTTCGTAAAGGAGCTACTGTTGACACTGATATTGACCACAACAGAGGAGTGATCGGAAATACCAGCTGGAAGAAAAGTAGCCGTAGACTCAGGAAACTTGTCCAGCCAGGCCTCATTAACCAGGACTCTGTCAATCTTGGTAGCTATAAAAGCTCCCTCACACCTTTTATTAGCCCATGTGAATTGGCATCCACCATAAGATAAATCAGCCGATTCAGATGCGTTAATATAGGTATTAAACTCCTCATTTTCAGAAGTCCAGGTAAAAGAACCCCCAATTTTTTCCTGTTGGTATCTTATAGCATTGAAAATCACCCAAGAAAATACATGGAACTTTGGATTTAGCCTGGGAGATATTAAACATTGTATCAAAAAATACTTTCCTCAAAGTGTGCTTATTTGCAGCATAGACAAAAACAACAAAAAAAATTTCATTTCTAGCCAAGTCAAGGATTTTACACAAAATATGCTGATTTTTTTTTTGGGTGAATAAGACATAAAATAAAAGACAAAGGATATACAAGATTACAAGGGGAATACCCCAGGCCCTACAATCAACTATACAGCAAGATTAGCAACCAAAAATAAAGCAAAAGAGAGCCCAAACAAAAACACTGTTCAGCAACCATATCATGAGAGATAGGGGAAATGAACACTGCGAAGGAACAGCCTAAAGCCGAGAGATAAACAGCCCCATAACAGCAAAACGAAATATAACCTGTGGACTACATAATCCAGAACCAAACAGTAAAGCAATAGAAACAAAATAGGTCAAAGATGGACCACTTAATTCCTAGCACATCCCGCTAGGATAGGTAAAATAGCTAAAGTTGTTAAAACAGAAATGAAAACAGCTTATATCCCTGATGAAACAACCAGCGGCGCATTCAGCAGCCAGCTTCGAACCAAATATCCCAAGAATCAAACCAAGATGTAGACCTCCACAATATGCTGATTTGACATGGAAATCAGTTGAAGATCACAAAAATCATTGTTCCAGCACACCCAGACTCTCCCAGTTTCAGTTGGTTGTGAATTGGAGACATAGACCATTTACCAAAACATTTTTCACAAATATTCCTCTCATTGGTTTGTTTTATTTTAGTTTCCAAAACTCCCATGACATGAACATTTTCTTTAGACACAAAATTCTTAACTTCTTTTTGTTTAGAAGGATTATTCAATCCTCTAACATTCCATGAAGCAATTTTAACAGTCATTGGGAAACAAAAAGGGAGATGACAAAAAACCACAACCAACTGAAACTGATTACCTCTTCTTCTTCCTCTGGCTGCTGTTACTTTTTCCAGAGGACTTGTTCTTCATATACTGGTTTACCTGAGCTTTAGTAGGTGTCTTCTTTGTCTCTTTCATTACTGTCTCTAACATTTCAGCAGCATTAGGTATAACCAGCTCTATAATCTCCAAGATGTTCTTTTGAAATCTATCCACATCGCTACTGTCAGAGCTTACTTCTTCCACAGAGGAGCTCTTCTTGGCTGGATCCTCCTGAATTGCTTGAGTTTGACCTGAAGGAGCCAAAGGCACTACAACTGAAGCAGATATAGGCTCCGCATCTGGGGAAAGATCAGGGGACTCCACCACTTCAGGTATAGTCTCAAACTCAGGATCCCCCACCTTCCTCTTACCCTTAGCTTGAACAGTGGTCCAACCTTCTTCCTGAGAATTGACATTCTCTTTGGTGACCTTCTGCAAGGAGATCAACTGGGCCACTAGTTTGGAAACACACTTCTCAGTACTGTGTCCAAAGATCTGGCAATGTTGACAGATAGAAGGCAGTCCCGGATATTCAACTTTAATTTTGACAGCATCATCTCCACACCTAATTTGGAAATAAGAAAGCATCTTTGATGTAGCCTCTATCTCCACACAGATTCTAGCAAAAGCCACTCTACTACCTCGAGCCGTAAGCTGATCCATAAAGAGAGGGTTGCCAATTGCACTAGCAATCCTGCTTAATCCATCAGGGTCCTAATACTCCAGAGGGACATTGAAAAATTTCACCCAAAGTGGGATTTTAGTGGATTTCTCCTTAGCAAGTTTCATCATCCTCTTCCATTGTTTCAAGATAAGGAGATAACCCCCAATATACCATGGGCCTCCCTCTAAAACGTCTCTACAGCAATCAGGAGTATCAAATATGAAGAACATGAAGCCATCCCCATTTGTGAGAACTTCCTTAAGGCCCTTAGCCTTCCACATCCCAAACGCACTATTCCGAAGATAGTTATACCCAACTCCTTTATCAACAAAATAACCAACGAGACATGAATCCCATTTCTCCAATGGATCAGATCTTGCTGGCATCTCTACCACAATACTATCTTCTACAGCAGTTAGAGGGACATACCTGAGTTTGACGTTTGATCGAGTTGATGCAGCAGTAACATTGGCCTACGAACGGTTCCCTTGGCCCATTTGCTCAGTTGTTCGGTTACCACCTGGGCCACCGCGGCCTCCTTTCCCACCCCGATAACTACCCCCCCTACCACCTCCCCCTTAAGTAGACATAAAGTCACCAAGAGGAATCTGGGTTTCAGAGATAGGAGCCAGATCTAGAACGCTCAGAACAACACTATTCTTGGTCCCCCCCTATTACGCGCGATCTCCAGGCTATCGGGTAGATTTAGGAAGCTATTGTCCTCTTCCTCCACGATTTCATACCAACTCGTGCCAATCTCATTGCCAATCGGCGTAGATGGCTCCTATGATGAATTCTGTACAAGGTCCCTATTCATCATAGGATATGGCCTTTGTACAGTTCGATTGGCTAAGTTTTCATTTGGCTCTCCTAATATTCGGATGTAGCTCCTAGGTTTGGCCTAGTGTTTTTTTGTTTGTGTTTCTTTGGGCTTCGGTGACTGTGGGCTGAGGCTCGTGTTGTTCTTTTGTTGTTAGGGCCTGGGGTATGCCCCTTGTATTTTTGTAAATCTTTCTGTTTTATATTATTTCTTATTCACCCAAAAAAAAAAGAATCCTTAGACCCAACATTGATTGGGGATTTAGATAGGTTTAATCCCAAAATTTCCAAAACCGAAGCCGAAACACCCATTTCTCCAGAACGATTTGCCTCAACGTTAACCACCACTTCCTGATTGTGAACCTCCACACCAGATAGATTAACCATCAGACTTCCAACACTGCGATTTACGGTTGAAACACCCTCGCCGCTAGGTTTAGTAAGATCTGCTTCAGAAGCCATCAAGTCGTCACACAAGGTCGCAAAACGATTATTAGTGAACCCTAGATTTTGATCGACAAGACCTAAAGTCTTTACTGACTCACCCTTAGCATTTCCCCCCTCATAACACTCATTAATGGTAGCAATTACTCCAGACATCGGCAATTACTCCAGACATCGGCCTTCACTAATTGTTTCATTAGCTTAAGTGGCCAAGTTTAACTCAAATTAACCTTGCTTAGCCACCAAGAAAGAGAATTTTATGAGTAATTGTTGCTTAACGATATTAGTTTAACTTAAGCACCACGTTTAAGGTTTTCTTAGTCACTTAAGTGTTCAATTGTCAAGTCGAACAGGATGAATATGAGTTCCCTTTGATTTTTTATTTTTTTTATTTCTCTTTCTTTTCTCTAACTTTCTCTTCTACCTCTGAAGAAGAATGTTTCTATCCAACTTTGTCCATCCTTCTCCATCCTTCCCTATTTCATTAGCTTAAGTGGCCAAGTTTAACTCAAACTGACCTTGCTTCGCTTTCAAGAAAGCGAACTTTCTAAGTAAATGTAAGTTAACGGTATTAGTTTAATATAAGCACCTAATTTAATCTTTTCTAAATGACATAAATGCTCAATTAAGTAGCCAAGCTTAACTCAAGTTGACCTTGTTTATCATCCCAAAAAGCAAATTTTCTAAGTAAATATGGAATAGCGGTATTAGCATGGCGTAAGCACCACATTTATGCTTTTCAAAACGATGTAAGTGTTCAATTCTAAAGTCCAAATGGTTGAATTTGAATTCCCTTGTACATTCTTCAAATTTCCCCTTCCGTTCTCTAACTTTCTCTTCCAAAAGCAATCCAACACAAGCCCAATGTTTCTCCCCAAGTTTTTTTTTGGGTGAATAAGACATAAATAAAAGACAAAGGATATACAAGATTACAAGGGGAATACCCCAGGCCCTACAACCAACTATACAGCAAGATCAGCAACCAAAAAAAAAAAAATAAAGCAAAAGAGAGCCCAAACAAAAACACTGTTCAACAACCATATCATGAGAGATAGGGGAAATGAACACTGCGAAGGAACAGCCCAAAGCCGTGAGATAAACAGCCCCATAGCAGCACAAAATGTCGGCCCCAAGTCCGAAAACAGTAATGGAAAACAAAACATAACCTGTGGACTACATAATCCAGAACCAAACAGTAAAGCAATAGAAACAAAACAGGCCAAAGATGGACCACTTAATTCCTAGCACACCCCGCTAGGATAGGTAAAATAGCTAAAGTTGTTAAAACAGAAATGAAAACAGCTTATATCCCTGATGAAACAACCAGCGGCGCATTCAGCAGCCAGCTTCGAGCCAAATATCCCAAGAATCAAACCAATATGTAGACCTCCACTAGACAATATAGAAAGACCTGCCAATATGGAGTAAACAAATCCATTAGTGATCATGAAGGATTCCAGTAAAAACAGGTAACCACAATATATGTCTCACATCACTAAACCCACAATAATCTCGCATCACTCAGTAGTACTTGGAATTTAGCACACAATATATAGGCTCTCATCACTCAACCCACATAGCATTGCATTACTCCATAGCCTGCACATAAAGCTTACAATATATATAAACATTAGATAAAACATTTGTGAGTAGCTATTTCACTCAACCCACAATTCTGTCTGTTGTAAATTTTTTGGACTCACAACACTCAACCCTCATTGATCCAAGCACTTCTCATTACTACACAAGAAGAAAACAGTTAGGAAAAAACACTCTGTTTGCTTACAATCACTCGACCCTCATATAGTGAACTCACATCACTCAACAACCCTCCCAGTGCCGAGAACATGGGGCTTCAAGACAGTAGCAGACAAATTCCAATGGTCAATGTACCAGTTGTCACCTGCATTTCTAGGAACATTTGTGATAGACAACAATCTACCCCGAATCAGTTGGACAATTATTTTAACCACCACTTCTTCTGGCTTGAATTCTTTATTGAAAATTATGTTATTCCTTTCAAGCCAGATAATATAAACAGAGCACAACAATGACAATTTGATGATTATGGATCTTAATGATCTTCTCTTAGTCTCTCTAGTAGCAAAGGGAATAATGCCAGGCCACTGAAAGTCAGGCCACTGCACATTACATTTAGCTTTGATTTCAGTCCAGATTTTAGTAGAGAAGACACAATCAAAAAAGAGGTGAGAATGAGTTTCAGTAACATGTTGGCAAAAGGGGCAAGTTGGTGTAGGAGAGATGCCAAATAGCTGAAGCCTGTCACCAAAAAAGAAGCCTGTCACCAGTATTAAGCCTCTCCTGGACAACCATCCAAACAACAAAACTAGCCCTAGGGATATGGTGAGCCCCCCAGATTAATTTATGCCAAACAACTTTATCAAGCTTAAGCCTCCAATGATTCCAAACACCATTAATAGTAAATTTCCCATCAGAAAGAGACCAAGTAGGTTGATCATCCAGTAGAGGGTTAGGTCTGCAGCTAGTGGGGGTTGAAGAGATCAGCTCCCTTATTTCCCAAGAGTTGGGGACAGGCCACTTCCAAGAGTCCCCATCCATAATCTGATTGACCTTAGTCTCACTGTTAAGATTAGAGTCATACAAGATTCTGTCCCCAAATTTTTTCCATAAAGGACCAAGAGGATGCCAATTATCATACCATAAAAAGGTAGAGTCACCCCTACCTATTTTGTGGATTAAGGGGTGAAATTTTATCCCTAAGAGCTAGAATCTTTCTCCAAACCCAAGAAGAGTTGTGGGGAACCTTTACTTTCCAGAAACTTCTGCCCTTAAGTAAATACGATTTAACCCACTGGCACCACATAGACATCTCCCCTCCAGAGAAGAGGAACCAAATATGCTTGGTTATAGCAGCCATGTTCCAAACCTCTAAAGATTTAAAACCAAGACCACCTTCATTTTTAGGCACACAAATCTTATCCCAAGCAATTTTGGCACTATGTTTCTTAAGATCTGTGCCCGACCAGAAAAAAGCTCTAAGGATACCCTCAATCTCTCTAATAACCCTCTTGGGGAGGATGAAAAGAGAGGACCAGTAAACCTGCATAGAAAAGAGAATGGTCTGGATAAGTTGAGCTCTTCCAGCATAAGAAAGAGCTTTATTTGTCCAGCTCTTAATACGATTTGTGATCCTATCAATGAGAATTTGACAATCCGAAGCCCTAAGCTTGGTTGTTATCAGTGGGACACCAAGGTATTTGACAGGAAGAGTACCCTCAGTAAACTGAACAATTTTGAGGATATCCTCTCTCAAACCCCCATTACAACCAGAGAAATAAATGTTGCTTTTGCTGAAGCTAGGGGTAAGGCCTGAAAGAGAAGAGAACTCCTCCAGACCTTGCATGATTAAACTAACAGTGGGAGCATCCCCACGACTGAAGATCATAAGATCGTCAGCAAAGCAGAGATTGACAATCTTAGATTTCTCACACCTCCAATGGAAGTTGAATTGAGGATGATTGGACTTTTCAGCAAAAATTCTAGCAAGGATTTCCATAGCCAGAACGAAGAGATAAGGAGACATAGGATCTCCCTGTTTAAGACCTCTAGCACCTTTAAAATAACCATGCAAGCTCCCATTAATGCAAACAGAGAAACAAGGACTTGTCATACAAGCCTTGATCCAAGATATCATAATGGGCGGAAAAGCCATGGCTTTGAGGATTTTTTTTTGGGTGAATAAGTCATAAATTAAAAACACAGAAAATTACACATATACAAGGGGCATGCCCCAGGCCCTAACCAAAGAAACAAAGGAAACAAATGAACAAAACCAAACTAGATCAACAAGCTAAGAATCCAAAATACCAAAAAAATAAACAAGCCTAATGAACAGTCCACACACAACGACACAGACCCGAACATACAAAAATTTTCATGTGTCCCATAATAAACATATGGGACAGATGAACATAATCAGACAGGTTCGGGACCATACAGACCAGCTTAAACATGCACATCCCGCAGTTAAAGCATAAGACCAAAAAATACAGCATGCAATCATCAGGCTTTGACAACCAAATAATAAAATAAATAATAAACAAAAGGTTCATCACGTCCTGGGCATTTCCAGCAGCCATAGTTAACAAAAAAACTGAAGTCCATCCCTTGGCTGTCCCATTTAGCAGAGAACCTAGTATGCTATTCACAGATATTGCTCCTATGCAAAAGAGGAACATGTCGAAAGAAGACCAAGCACAGCTCACAAGCGTACCATAATCCACAGTACGAAACCCAAAAAACAACAAAACAGAAATGTCGTGCACATCCCGCACGGATAGGCCAAAAAGAATTAAACATAGCAAACCATCTATAATGTCCAACCGTAAGAAGCATGGCTTTGAGGATATCAATGATAAACTCTCATCTCACACTATCGTAAGCTTTCATGATATCCACTTTCATCGCACACTTAGGGGTAGTGGAATTCTTGTGGTAACCCCTCAAAATTTCTGGAGACAAGAAGATATTATCAGAAATTCTCCTGCCCTGCACAAAAGCTGATTGCACAGGATCAATGAGGTCAGGCAAGACCTCTTTAATCCTATTTGCAATGCTCATTACTACACAAGAAGAAAACAGTTAGGAAAAACACTCTGTTTGCTTACAATCACTCGACCCTCATATAGTGAACTCACATCACTCAACAGCCCTCCCAGTGCCGAGAACATGGGGCTTCAAGACAGTAGCAGGCAAATTCCAATGGTCAATGTACCAGTTGTCACCTGCATTTCTAGGAACATTTGTGATAGACAACAATCTACCCCGAATCCTCCAAGAGGAGTCAGGACAGCCAGGGGGATGGTAAGAAGCAGAGAAGTTCTAAACCTCAGCAGTACTCAGCAGTCCCAAGGAGTACAGTCGAGGTCAACTTTTTGAATGTACCAAACAAGTCAGAGTAAAAATTTGTGAAAGCATTTTGAATCTCTTCAGGCTTGTTAGATATACTCCCATCCTTTAACTCAATATTAAGAATTTTACCCCTATTGATATTACCCTTAATAGTCTTAAAAAAGAACTTGCTATTACAGTCCCCCAATTTCAGCCACTGAACCCTAGACTTTTGATGAGCCAAACTCTCTTCAACCATAGTCAGATCAACATACTGTTTGTAG